TTATTTTAGGTCCTGCATCCTATTAATGTAATGTTCAAAAGTAATCAAAAAGTTACTATTTTGATAAGTGAAATAACTATTTTCTTAATCATGTTCTGAGCTTTTTCTTTTTTAACATGTAAAAGTGAATTTTATTCCAATTACATCTCTTCTAGTTACTGTCTCTTTTGCATTCTTTTGGGTACCTGTCACTGGGAAGTCAGGCTTTGAGATGGCCTTTGAAGGACAGGGATAAGGGTGGCTGGTGGTGAAAGGGTATGTCTGATAGGAGGGGAAAATTGAAATGTGTACAGAGAATAAGATCTCAGAGTCCAAAACGAGCCATGGGCCAGCTGTGTTCCAAGGCTGAGAATGGCCTGACTGCTAATGTTAGGAGGAATAGCAGAAAAGCAGGAGAAATAGCTAGGCTCACATTAAAACCCTGGAGGCTATGGACGCCATTCAACACCTAAAGGAACCCACAATATGACCTTTCAAGAGGATGCTCTGGTGGTGGTGTATAGAAAGACTCAAGTAGGGTGCTGGTGGTGGGTGGTTCTGCTAAGCACATTTTTCTAAAACCCTACTCAACATGGAACTCTGTTCTAGGCCCTGGGGACTTAAAAACAAAAGAGTTCCTTCCTCCTGGCCTGGTGGGGGTAAGCAGGAAGAGACCTGTTAAGGTGCTGTATCTTCATTCACTACTTGCAGCCCTGCAGGTTAGAGCAGGGTCTGAGCAGCAGGAATGGAGAGGAGATTTGAAAGCAAGAACAGGTGGTATCTGGGGAAGAATCATCAGCCTTTTATCTATTGGGTCCCACACCACATGCTTTCGCCCCAGTCTGCTTTTATTTTTCTCAATTCATTCCCCTTGTTCTTATTTTTCTATCCTCTTTGTAGCCAAAGGCACTTAGTGAACACCAGCAAATTAAATGCCACACTTAAACGCTGTGCCTTTTTCTGAATCCACGGGCGTTCATCACTTTGAGGGGGCTTGGTGTTCTTTCCACTGTTGTTTTCCTCTCTGAGTAGTCACTCTGTAGGTCACACGCAGAATTAATTGAAGTTCACATAATCAGACTGGCGCATTTTCATTAAACATCTGAGTTTAAATGAAAGAAACAAAGGCAATGCCACAGAATGGCCCGCTAAACAGGCACGTAGATCAAAGGCACATGGGCTGGCTTAACATCCTACTGCATGTTTATCAATCTAATCTAAGAAAGCTTTTGTTAAATGGCTTATGATGTACCAGCTGCTTAAGTGACCACTGGGATGAGCTGAATAAGACACACGTGCAGTCCTTAAAGACAGGTGAGGAAGCGCCCACCAAGTGACATCTCATTCTCTCCATTGCTCATGTTAGAGCCTGCCATGACCACTTCTTGTTCCACCATTCCTCCCTGTTCAAAGCGCCTAAGCAAGCCTCTGAAAGTCTTATCATGTTGCTCTTTTCCTCTCATTCAATGAAATTCCATGTCCTTAATCTTGGCCCATAAGGTCCCTTATGATCCAACTTTGATGTCAACTGTAATTCTTTCCCTCACTCCACTCCTTTTTGGCTTCTTTACTTTTCTTAGGATGTTCTAAACCCACTCCTCAGATCCTTTTCCTTGTTCCTTACATCTGGAATTCTCCTTTCCTTGACATCTACATGATTTGCTGTCACCTTCTGCAGATTTCTGCTCAAATTCTTTTTGGACCACCTGGCATTCCCTAAACCCCCTTACCCCTGCTTTGTTTTTCATCAAAGCATTTATGGGATAAGCTGCACTTATTACTGCTGGAATTTATCCATTTATTATCTGTATCCCTCAACAACACTGAAAACTTTACAGAAGAGGGCCTCTGGGGTTTGCTTCTGTAGTCCCAGAGCTTAGAATGCTGACCGCCATGTGGTCAGTGCTCAACACACATTTTAAAAATATACTGAATGATTGGTAGTTATGCACAGAATTTTAGAGGAACAATAAGAAGGGCATATGTCACATCCTGGGATTAGAGAAAGTTTTCTTAAGGAAATGATTCTTGGACTGAGTCCTCTTTTTGTGTGTTCATTCCTCATTCACTAATAAAGTCTTACAGACTTTTCCTAGGTACCAGGTACTATTCTAGAGACATGAATGTAGCTTCCAGGAAGGTAGACAAGCCCCTGTTCTTGTGGGAGAAAGAAAATAAGCAAGCCAATCCATCAGCAAACAAGAAAGATATCTGAGACTGACACATGCTATGCAAAGAACTGAAAATACTGCATCATAGGGGCTGGGGATGTGGCTCAAGTGGTAGCGCACTCGCCTGGCATGCGTGCGGCCCGGGTTCGATCCTCAGCACCACATACAAACAAAGATGTTGTGTCCGCCGAGAACTGAAAAATAAATATTAAAAACACACTCTCTCTTTAAAAAAAATACTGCATCATAAAATATCTATGTTGTGACTTCAGACTGTATCATCAGAGAAGTATCTCTAGGAAATGACATTTCAGTGGAGACCCGAGGGACAATTAGAAAGCAGGCCTATGAGGATGAAGAGCTAAGTATTCCTGACATGGATCATGGCTGAAGGAAAGAGCCAAAGCAGCACAAGAGGCGGCAGAGCAGTGGGCCAGGAAGAGAGGAGAGCAACTTGAGATCAGGTCGGAGAATGCAGGAGGTGACATAGGGGAGGTGCCAGATGGAAAGCACTGCAGGTGGAGGGACTAAACCCCCAAATATGAGCAAACAGAGGCAGGTACCAAATAGACTGGTGTGTCTAAGTGACTTGAAAATGGATTTCTTCTGGGTGCAGGGCACAAGCAAAGATGGAATCTGGGATACTGTGAGGTGAACTGGCTTCTCAGGAAGCTTCTGGCACATATTTTATTGCAGCTGAGGAGAGAGAACAATCTCGCTGGAAAATATAGCTTCTGGGAAAAGCTCCATAAATAACCTACTATAAAAGTCTAGAGTAAGAAGTACAGTCTTAGAAGGTTCAGATGTTATGTATTTGAGCTCCTGCCGAGCTTACAACTGGTAAGCAAATGCAACCTTGCAAGGTTTACTTATTCTAAACACCATCTCGGACCTGTAAGGAGTGACAATCCCTAGTATAAATACTGAGCTGAAGGATGGGCCAATTAACTTACTCTGGGGTCCTAGTCCATGTCTTCTTTCCAGGATCTCAGTACACCTGTCTAGAATGATTCTTGCCCTCAATTTATTCTACAGGCTTTGCCTTCTGCAATTTCCCTCTGGCTCTCTTGTATTCTCCTGTGCCCACCGCTAATTTGGAAATTATACTCTTTTTCCCCCTCAGCAAATCCTCGTCAATACTGTGTTCTATGCAGGCCAGTCAACAACCTCCTCTATTTACTAACAAGAAGGATGCAAAACAAACTCAAAGATGGGATTAATATGCTTGGACACATTTCTTTTTCTATAGCAACAGAGTCCCGAAGGAGTGTCCAAGTCGTCGGGAATCCTGACAGATTGGAAGTTTTGTAACAATTGGGACCCTGTTATCAGTAGAACCAGATTCCTCAGAGAAGGCAGTCCTGAATTCATGACAAGGAATTTAATTTAGGCTCACAATTTATCAAGTAAATGGTGACTTATGAGTAACTATTCACTATGTGTGTCATAGGGCCTGCTGCTGACACTGTGCTCTGAGACTGAGGCCATTTAGAGACAATTACTTTATACATCATATTAGAACACATCATGAGGTATACCAAGATAAAATATTTATCTAAGAGGCAACAAATGAAGGGTGACATTTTCATCCATTAACAATGGTACATTTTCCATTCTTGTACCATAAACCCTATTACATATGCATCACTTGGCAATGTCGATGTGCAGTTGAGGTAGTAACAGAGACTTAAGATTTCCATTGTAAGTGCAAATGGTGGCCAGCTGAAAAATTCTGAATAGATACTATTATCTTCTTCAGGAGCCATTTACTTTTTCAAGTTTTGAATGTCCAAGATGCATTCAATGTTTTCAAGTACCGTTTTTTTTTTTTTTTTTTTTTTTTTGGTGCAAAATCTACGGTGTATAAAAACCATATGAACTTTAGCAATGACATGGGAAGTTACTGTCAGGCTGATACACACATACACACATAAAAGCTGTTTTAGTCAGCTTTTCTTTGCTGTGATCAAAATATCTGTCATGAACAACTCAGAAGAGGGGCAATTTATTCTAGCTCATAGTTCCAGAGGTTTAGTTCATGGTGGGCCAACTCCACTGCTTTGGGCCCAAGGAGAGGCAGCACATCACGGTGCTGCTTCATTCATGGTGGCCAGGAAGCAGAGGCAAGGGAGAAGGGGCCACTGGTAAGATGAACTCTTTCATTGCATGCCCCAGTGACCCACCTCCTTCGGCCACACCCACCTGCCTTCAGGTGCCACCCAGTCCATTCAAACTACAATGGACTTAAAGGTTACAACTCTCATTAATCATTTTGCCTCTGAATGTTCCTACATTAACACAGGAGCTTTTGGGGAATACCTCATATTCAAACCTTAATACCCCCCCCACCCCCAACACACACACACTTTTGGGTAAATGGTAAAGCCCTGAAATACTCAGAAAAAAAGAATATTCTACAATGTGAATTAAAAACTGGAAGGCAGATAGAAGGCAAGAGCTGGCCAGGTTGCTGAAAAAGAAATACTTTCAAAAAGTTGGCCCTGCCTTTAGATGCAGAACATCCCTGAAGACCACAGCTTAAAATTTAAGGGCAGGTGCTCAGTGACCTATCTTTTTGATAGTAGAGACTGTTAAAAAGCAAATGAATACGATTAAAAAACAAAAAGATGGCCAGTACCAGGCAGGGTCCAAGAATCACAGCACAAAATTATAAAACATTAAAAATAACTTTTATTTCCATTTTCCAATATTTCTTTTATACCCATCCTTATAGAAATGAACATTTTCAGGGCTTACAACTTGTATTTTACCACACTCGAATTCTAAAAAGAAACAAACCACTACTTATTCAGCTGATATAATTAAAAATGAAATTAGCATTAGAGTTACCTGAAATTCCAGTCCATAGTTTTCTCTGCAGAATTCTCTCAGTTTAGGATATACATTTTCTCTCAGTGCCTGTCTTTCTGCTCCCGTGTCTACAGTAGAAAATCAAACATATACAAGTGAGGTATGCCCACATATTTCTAAAAAATAATAAAAACTTAAATATTAACGTTAATATATGAAATTGGGGTGATAAGTTTTGAAGTGGTGGGATATTGGGCTGCTGGGATAATTCCCCAGATATCCACCCAGTAGGCATGTATAAGTAGCACACAGGATGGATGAGAGCCCCACTGGTCCATTTTCTGTGCAGGGTTGAGAACTGAGTTGATTCTTTATGCCCACATTGGTGTTTACATCAAACTTTTAAATAGTCATGACCACCCTGTCTTTGGGGGAAGTAGGTGACATTATAGATTCCCCTGTTTTAGCTCAATGACATGTAAAAATTTCAACTCACACACGCATTGATTTAGTTATTGATGTACCAAAAAAATCCACACCATATATTTTCCTGTAGAGATTAGAAATAATGCAACATTTACAAATTTGACACAGTATCCAGGCAATCAGCATAATAATTTATGAGAGACCAATAGTGGAAGCAAACATGAAAAACTAGCAGATCCCACCCTCTGTAGATTCAACAGGGCAAGGGTTTAACAGGAACATCTCACATTTTAGATTTAGGGACTTTGTTATATTAAGAATGTTTTTTTTTTTTTTAATGTGCCACATCATGCAAGAGAGCTGACATAAAATGTTTTTATCCTGTTATTACAAAATATGAGACAAAGAACCTGAAACCAGAATTAGAGAACAAACCCACACACATATAATGTTGAAATTTTGCACAGGAAGGAATTCCCAAGCCTCCTGTGCTGAATGCCATGATTCTCTTGCATCCATGGTGACACTCTAGGAGTATTACAGCCAAAGAGGGGTGTCCTTGCCCCATGAACTCCAATGAACCATTGGAAACAGTTTTTTTTTCCTTTCAAAAATTAAGTTAATGTGTTATCTCATGAAAAGTATCCTTTGCTAAATGTACCTTAATCCCAGCTGAAATGATGGAACATCTGCAGGGCACATTCACAATGCAGATAAGAACTCAAAAGAATTTCCTTTTTATTCTCAAGCACATCTGCCCATGAAATATTTAACCATATGCTGTGCTGACCCACTCTATTTTCCTACTATTCTTAAGCCTATTTTGAGAAGAAACAAAGAACCACGTTCAAGAGTCTGAAATGTAGCTACAGCCCAGCAGAGTGGCAGGCACCAGAGTTTAAATGAAAATCAGTCAGAGGAAGAGAGAGTTTCAGATTTTGCTGACACCTAAACAAACTGGGTCTTTCCATACAGTAGATCCCACGTGGTCCTGAGCCCAAAGGGCAAACAGAAAACCAGGCTGAACAGGGACCTGTGGTGTTGCGGCATTGCCAGACACAGCACATTAGGTTTTCATATCATTTACATAATCTTGGGATCAGATACCTATCCTCTCTTGCCCCATTTAAAAAGCTGAAAACAGTAACTTTATATTAAAGCTGGTAATAGACAATCTCTCTAAAAGGTCTTGACAGATTTTTTAAAACCCAAATAACTACAACAACAAAAGTCATTTAAAAAACAAATACTATTATATATGGAAGTTGGGAATATATTCAACAGGTCTGAGTGTTCTGAAATTCTAAAGTTAGTATTTGATACATGAAATAATTATGGAATGATAGAAGGAACAGAAATTTCTTGTTTCTTAAAAAAATCTAATTATAATTCTTATTACTGTGTACTGAGGCCTGGATGTGCAAAAGTGAGGAGGAAAAGACAGAAATATAGTACTCAATCTCTAATATTTACTAATAGTGAATAGTCTTACTATAATCTGGTAGTGTGCTAAGCAAGCCTATGTGTTTTTTTTTTCTTGGTCATTTCTGATGACAACCATATGAAACAGGTGAAATTTTTATTCTGTTCTTTTGATTGAAGAGACTAAGGACAAAGGGATTAAGAAACTGGCCAGGTTGTATGGCCACTAGTTTCGACAACTCAGATTGGAAGCCATGCACTGCTCTGCTTTACCCCAGAGACAGGCAACTACAAAAAGAATCAACCTTTGAAAGCAATGAATACGATAGCTATAAAAAATGGCTAAGGGTTGTAGAAATTCTAATGTGTCCAATAAATAAATTCGAGGTATCCTTGATGGATTCTTCTTTCTCTGTTATAAAGCCCTACCATAGCCAATCCATCAAGATCTTCTGCTATACCTCTAAACAAATCCTGAAATGATCCAGCTCTTCCCTCTGCTGCTGGATGCAAGCCATATCCCCCTCTCAACTGGACTGGATCTCTGTCTCATATTTGTTTTCTTCAATCCATTCCACACAGAGCAGCCAGAAGGACCTTTTCAACATGTAAATCTGATCACATCATGACCGTCTTTCAAACCCTCCAACAGCTTTGCATGAAACTTGGACGGAAATCCACACACTCTTTCTGTTAAAGCTTTCACATTCCCCAGGTTCATCTCCTACTACTTCCCTGTTCATGCCACACCAGCAGGGCTGGCCTACAGCAGCTTCCCGATTACAGTCCCACTAATGGGCCTTTGCTCTTGCTGTATCTTCCTCCCACAACCCTGAGTCCTGGATCTGCTTGAGGCATCTCTGGACACTGGAGTGTCCCCTTCAGTTCACCTTTTCAGAGAGGTCTTCTCCAAGCACCCCAGCCACAGCAGCCTCTGAACCACTGTCTACTACCTTCTTTTAAATTTTGCACACGACTCATCACTACAATTGCTGTTTGTTTACTATCTCCCCTAGAAAAATGTGAGCTCAATGGGAGTTGGAATCCTCTGCCTCATTGGCTGGTGCCTCCCCAGGGATTAGAGTCATGCTCAATGAGAGTGAATGAAAAGCCCACACATGCACGGTGACAAACCACACCCTGGCCTTACTACCCACCCGACAATAACCTCCCGGAGCACAGAGGCCTCCTAAGATACAATTCGTCATTGGGAACATATAAAAACAAGACTGAGATTCTGGAATATAAATGATGGGGTTTAGATATTTAGTGTCATAAGGTAAACGAAGAGAGTGAAATATGAATTTCCGATTTCCATATTTCTAGCAGAATATGAGTATTTTCTTATCAAGCTATTTTGAACCTTGCTAAATATGTGAAGAAAGTACCCAGACCATAGCTGGTACACATTCTGGTGCTCTTATTTTATGAGAATGACTCATATTTCCCTATATTTGTATTAATATGTGATGATTGGTTCTGGAAATGGAAAAGTAATTAAGATAGAATGGATTAATTGTGATGGATGACAGATAAGCTGGCTTAATCAAATAAAAACCCCCCTGATTCATACCGACGGCAAATCCTGACGGCTGGCAATTAAAAACACTTGAATGTCAGAGACAGGAAAAATTAACTTGCAGAATCTCACACATAAAAAGGGACCTCTTCAAGTATAGATCAGATGAGGTGCGTCACCATGTATTTTTTATACATAGTCAGTACATCTGTTTGAATCTGCTCTGCTCCTTAGTGCTTTGAAAAGGTGCATTAACACTTTGGCTGTGCTATTAGGTTTCTGAGCAGTTGCTTTCTAAATGATTCTTTGGTGATCTCAGAGTAAGTGAAAGTCTGTATGCAGTGTCTGAACTACCCACAGGAAGTACATTAGTTGGGGAGAATTATTAATCAAAACCAAGATCCTTGAAACATCTTGCTATAACTTCAGAAGGGTTTAGATTAATTCTGAATGCTTATTAAACATAAAAGAGTGTTGAATGACTATGTTGGAAAGCAACCTCACCCAGCTCCTGCCTTGCTCAATAGCTGGCCACAGACATTAGATTAAGTCATTTTTCTGACTGTTGGCAGCTCAGAAAATGTGTTTAGGATCCATGACACATACTCTGCTAAGATTGTCACATTAGCCCAGTGTCCCAGGTTTCCACGTATTTGCTCTTGCTTAGATATTTTCTCTCATAGCTTCTTAGCCAGTGATCTTATGGACAGTATATCTGGCTTTTTGTGGTTCTTACTTGGATCAACTCCTTGTTTGTACATTTCCCAAACTATGTCTCCTCTCTATGGCCCTCTGAAAAATTCTCTAAACCCAACCAGCCACACTCACCCTTCCACATTCAAATCTTGTCAATTTTATGTCATAAACATCTTTTTTTCCCCAATGTTTTCACACCCCATCTTCTCTCAACCCCAATTCTATTTGTCTAACCTGTTATCTGTCCCTCACTCACCACAGGCCAATGAACCATAGAGATACAAGAGAGAAATTCCATGACAAAACAAAAGCAAAAATGAATCTGATCAATAGAAACCTTGGCTAGCCTTTGGTGGGCCAGAGGACAAAGGCCAGAATGCTCAGCAGCTGTCAATACTGACAACCACAGTTGTCTGCTTCTTTTCTATTCTTCCAGGGTTTCTTCCCATTTCTACCTAACAAACATTAAAAATTTAAATCAAATATTTTGACACTAGAAAAGTCATGAATTGGACTAATTCAGTGATGACTGTGAAAATGTTGCATTCTTTCATTTTATCGCCACAAGCTTATTATGAGACAAATATGACTTGCCTATTTTGCAGAAGAGGAGACAGAGCTTATAAGTCACTCACTCAAGGCCACACAGCTAAGCTCCACCTTTGGCTGTTCACCATATATCTTCCCAGAGTCTGAGTTTTCAGATGTCACTTGGCTGGAGCCTTGTCCTCACATAAAACACTTTTTATGCTCAGAAGCTCCTGTCAATTGCACCCCTATGTGTGACTCCTACTCTTCTGAGTCCCAGTCATGCTCCAGGAACTCCTGCTAGGAACAGGCAAGCCCCGTCTTGGCCACCCCACAGCACTCTGCTCGCTCCTGTGTGACATCTCATGCTGGGATCTCCTGTAGTTTACTGTAGTTATTATTTTTAGTTTGTCTCCCTCATTGGGCTGTGAGTTCATGGAAGATAGAGATTTTCTCATCCATCTTTACATCTTTACAGAAATCAATGATTCCCAGAACATAATTCACATAAGTGAATGGGCGAGTAGAAGCTATTATAGTCAAAACATTAACTAAACTGACTAGAAGACTAATTTGTCTTCAAAAA